CTCCCTGCAGCCTCCTGGGAGCAGAAATGGGCCACAAGGGGGCGCTGCACCCCTTGTACCCCATTTTGGGCCTAGTACATCTGCCTCCCTGCAGGCTCCTGGGAGCAGAAATGGGCCACAAGGGGGCGCTGCACCCCTCTGCACCCCATTTTGGGCCTAGTACACCTACCTCCCTGCAGGCTCCTGGGAGCAGAAATGGGCCACAAGGGGGCGCTGCACCCCTCTGCACCCCATTTTGGGCCTAGTGGGCTTCTCTGCAGCCTCCTGGGAGCAGAAATCGGCCACAAGGGGGTGCTGCACACCTCTGCACCCCATTTGGGCCTAGTGGGCTTCTCTGCAGCCTCCTGGGAGCAGAAATCGGCCACAAGGGGGTGCTGCACACCTCTGCACCCCATTTTGGGCCTAGTGGGCCTCTCTGCAACCTCCTGGGAGCAGAAATGGGCTGTGAGCTGAACAAGGAGAGATTCAACCTGGAAACAAGGAGAAACTTTCTGACAGGGAGAACAATCAACCCATGGAACAGAAGTTGCTCTCGGAAGTTGTGGGAGTTACAACACTTGAGACTTTCAAGAAGAGACTGGACGGCCATTTGTCAGAAATGGCGTAGGGTCTCCCTCTTGGGCAGGGGGTTGGACTAGATGACCTATAAGGTCCCTTCCAACTCTGATTATCTGTTATCTGTTAAAAACACTGGCTGGCAAACAATATTAAAAAATAAATAAAACTACAGATAGTCCTTGATTTTACAACCGTTTGTTTAGTGTCTGTTCAAAGTTAGAACAGCACTAAAATAAGTGACTTACAATTTGTTTTTCTCACTGAATGACCATTGCAGCTTCCCCCATGGTCACACGATCAAAAATTCAGATACTTGGCTACTGACCATATTTACGACGGATTGCAATGTCCTGGCGGGGGGGGCATGATCCCCTTTTGCGACGAGCAAAGTCAACGGGGAAATCCAGATTCGTTTAAAGAGCCTGTGACAAAATTAACAACTGAAGTGATTCCCTTAACAAACGTGGCAAAAGAGGTTGTAAAATGGGGCAAAATTCACTTAAAACGTCTCACTTAGCAACCTACATTTCGGGCTCAATTGTGGTCATACGTTGAGGACTATCTGTATGTAAATAAAATACTAGCAAAGTCGTATTTGTTCCCCAAAATTGTTAGGCTATGTTTGTCAGTCGTACCTCAGCCCATTTTATTTCACTTTATTTCTATTGATTTTATTTTAATTCCATTTATTTTAATGAAGAGGAGGACTAGGGGGGGGTGATATGACGATTATCTTTCCATATGAGAGGGGTCATCGTAGAGACGAAGGGAGTTGATCCATTCTATAAAGCACCTGAAGGCAAGGTCATAAAAGAGGGATCAAACCTAGAACTAAGGAAAATTTTCTTCACAGTGACGACAGTTCATCAGTGGAACTGCTTGGCACCAGAAGTTGTGGGTGCTCCACCACTGAAGGCTTTTAGGAAGAGATTGGGCAGCCACTTGTCAGAATAGAATGGAAAGGAAAGAGGAGAATAGAGAGAGAAAGAGAAAAGGGAGAATAAAATAGAATAGAGATGGAATAGAAATAGAAATAGAAATAGAATAGAATAGAATAGAATAGAATAGAATAGAATAGAATAGAATAGAATAGGATAGGATATAGGATAATATGGAAATAGAATAGAATAGAATATAGGATAATATGGAAATAGAATAGAATAGAATAGAATAGAATAGAATAGAATAGAATTCTTTATTGGCCAAGTGTGATTGGACACACAAGGAATTTGTCTTTAGTGCAAATGCTCCGGGTGCACATAAAAGAAAAGAGACATTCGCCGAGAGTCAAGAAGCATCAGGTACAACGCTTAATAATAGTCATAGGGTATAAATAATAGGGTATAAATAAGCAATCAAATCATACTAGGAAACCGTCAATATAGATCATAAAGATACAAGCAACAGGGTTACAGTCCTACAGTCCCAAGTGGGAGGGGAAGGGTGATAAGGAGTGATGAGAAGGTTAATAGTAATAGTAATGCAGGCTTTGTAAATAGTTGGACAGTGTTGAGGGAATTATTTGTTTAGCAGAGTGATGGCATTCGGGGAAAAGCTGTCCTTGTGTCTAGTTGTTCTGGTGTGCAGGGCTCCATAGCCTCGTTTTGAGGAAAAGAGTTGAAACAGTTTATGTCCGGGATGTGAGGGGTCTGTAGATATTTTCACAGCCCTCCTTTTGACTCGTGCAGTATACAGGTCCACAATGGAAGGCAGGTTGGTAGCCATTGTTTTTTCTGCAGTCCTAATTACCCTCTGGAGTCTGTGTCTGTCCTGTTGGGTTGCAGAACCAAACCAGACAGTCATGGAGGTGCAGATGACAGACTCCATGATTCCTCTGTAGAACTGGATCAGCAGTTCCTTGGACAGTTTGAGCTTCCTGAGTTGGTGCAGAAAGAACATTCTTTGTTGTGCTTTTCTGATGGCTTTTTTGATGTTAAGTGTCTATTTTAAGTCATGTGATATAATAGATCCTAGAAACGTGAAGGTCTCTATTGTTGATGCTGTGTTGTCCAGTATTGTAAGAAGTGTTAGTATGGGAGGGTTTCTCTTTAAAATCTACCACCATTTCTACGGTTTTGAGTGTGTTCAGTTCCAGATTGTTCGGGTAAACTCACCAATATCTCCTGAAACCAGAAAAAGGAACTAGAAATTGATTCCATTGCTCCAAAATGAATATTGGCAGTGCTCCATAGCGTCGTTTTGAGGGAAGGAGTTGAACCAGTTTATGTCCGGGATGTGAGGGGTCTGTAAGGATTCTTGAGCAATGGGTCAGAGTAGAAGACCTCCAAGGCCCCTTCCAACCCTGTTATTCTTTGTTATTCCTACAGGCCTGCTGACGGAAAGCTTTGTGGATGAACCCAACGGGTTGGTGTCCGTCAACTTGCTGGTCATCTCTTCGGTGGCTGCCTTCGTCATCGGAGCGGTGATCTCGGGCTTTAGCGTGTGCTGGTTCATCGGGCATCGAGACCGTAAGGAACTGGCCCGCCGGAGAGACAAGGAGAACATCCTTGCGCATGGAGAATCCGTGGTCAGTGTCAGCCGGCTGGGAGATCGACGCACCCGGGGACCTGGCAGCCAACCGGAGAACTTGTTGGCTCCGCTCATGCAGAACGGGTGGCCCAAAGGATTGATTAAGATGGGCCAACATGACCTTGATTCAGGGGTACTCCCCACCCCGGAGCAGACCCCCTTGCAGCAAAAGCGGTACCCCAAGCCGTGCAGCTGGGAGTACAGCCACAATCTCATTAACGCTTCTCTGCGCGGCGGAGAGCCGCCATCCTCGGTTATCCTTCTTCACGCGGGACACACCCCAGTGCCGTCGCACCTGAGCTCCGGACGAGTCATCCCCATTTCCTGCCACTCCGTGTTGATGGACCAAGAACTGGACAGCGAGGGAGCAGACCTCTCGCTAGACATGCGCTATCTCCCGGTGAGCGGTGGTGAGGGACCGAGGGGTATCCAATCCCAGCCAGGCCCGCTGGTGCATCGACCTTGCGGGACTCGGAGCTCGTACGGCAGCGAGCTGCCGATCACGCCGCACGACAGCCCCGATCGTCGGCGGGTGGTATCCGCTCCGACCGGGGACACGGGCAATCAGTGGAATCCCGAAAAGCTGAACTTTAATAGCAACAGCACGGGCAACAAGGGAAGTGCTCACCTGAGGCGCACCCACACGTTCAACAGTGGGGAAGGTCAGGCCCCCCACGCCCGAGCCCAGCGGACATCGACGCCGGGACCCCATCACACCCTCACAGACTACAGTCATCTCTTGAAATACAGTGGCGCCGAACGGACTCCATCTTCGGTCAAATAGGGCTGGTCAGGGGTGTGTGGCTTGGCTTGGCAACCTTCTTCCTCACACGAGGGGTGGGGGTTTTTGCTGCAGAGAGGAAGAGGAGAAGGAGGAGGAGGAGGAAGAGGAGGAGGAGGAAGAGCAAAGCAGGAAAACAACAGTGAGAGATGCTTGATTCCCTCCCCCGCCCCCCAGTAAGTGGCTTGGAAGGACCGGAATGCCCCACTTCCCAAAGCGTTCCAGATCTGCGCGAGATACAACAAAAAAAAGGAGGTTCTTTTCTTCGTGTGTGCGTGTGTGTGTTTTTGGGGTTCTCTTCATCCTGGCGCTTCCTCATTGGATACTTCCTTGCCTTTGCAAAACTCCTCCTCCTCCCTGAGGGGATGGGCAGGCAGGGGGCGCTGCCAGCCACCCATCCGCGAGTGAGCAAAGTTACTCTCAGTAAGTCAGGAAGGAACAGCGATCGTGGAACGAGTTGCAACGATTATCTGCTGCTAAAAAAAATAATAATAATAAGGAATGGGAAGGTTGCACAAAGCATTGGGGGGGGTGGCCCCCTCGTTTCTTTACTCATTCTCCCCCCCACCCCTCTTTTTAATTTAGTTTTTGGCTCCCGAAGGGCGGGGGAGGTTCTGTCTCGGACTGTGAAAGGACTCTCCAAAAATTACCATTGTCGGTTTCGGTTTATTTTTTCCTCTTCCTGTTTTGTTTTGGGGTTATTTTTTTTTATTTTTGCGTGGTTCCCCTGGGTTCCACGCACGCCAACACACACAGATGTGAACCGCTCATCCTGAGCTCCTGCAGGGCTGCTGTTCTTCTTTAAGAACAAGAACTTTCGGGGGTGGGGGGAAGAGACCCCAAGTCCCCTTCTCCTTGGTGCTACACGTGAGTCCCACCACAGCAAAAGTTGTACTCGGATCACCCCCGGCTCTGAGCGCCGAATGCCTGAGTGTTCCACGGTGGGCGGGAAGGCTGATTGTGATGGGTGGGAAGTCGGTCAAGCTGGAAAATTTCACCCTAGCTTTCAGCGGTCCAGGCTGGGCCCCACCCTGGAGAGGGTTTCTAGCTTTTTACAATAGCGTTTCTTACCAAGTCCCTCGGTTTGCGTTTGCACAACATGCTGAAGCTCTGCCAATTCCCTAACTTTTAAGAGAACGAAATTCCGGGTTTGCCCCACAGACGGAAAGTAAACGAGGCCACTCCATTTTAACTGAGTGTGTTACGGCAAACCTTTTAGAAGGCAGGGGCCGGTTTGGACGGATTAGAGCAAGCTGTATGTTGAATGGGGCTTATCAAATTATAAAGCGAGGCGGTGGAAGTACAACTGATTTCATTCCGGGTTTTCCAAGGACTGTGACACTTTGACAAGCCCTTTGCTGAGCCCAGCTAGTGATACAGGCGCAGGGCTGTCGGAAGGGGAGGTTGCACGCAGTTCCTTGTCCTGCCTCTGCAAAATCCATGACAGTTCCACGCCATCAGTGGAAGTTCTGTATACACGCCGTGGAAGGGCGTTCATGGAAGTGCCGTGCATTTCATCAAAAGTTCCACGCCATCGGTGGAAGTTCTATGCGCTGTGAAAGTGCTACGTCCTCCCGGAAAGTGCTGTGCGATTCACGGACGTCCCGTGCGCTCTGTGGACGTTCCGTAAGGCCCACGGAAGCTCTGTTGCGCCCTGCGAAAGTTCTGCGCACTTTTATGGAAGGACCATACACTCCATAGAAGTTCTGTCTAATCCATGGAGGTTCTGAGCACTCCGTGGGAGTCCCATGACTGTGACATGGATGGGGTGGTTTGAGGATGTCCTGTAAAACTCTTGTCAGAGTTCCGTGCGCTCTGCGGAAGTCCCACACTTCCCGTGGAAACGCTGTGTACCCCATGGCAATTCCACAGACTCCGTGGAAGGTCTATGCACTCCATGGCGGTTTTGTGCACTCCGTGGCAATTCCATACACTCCGTGGAAGTCCCGAGGAGACTAGACCTCGCTTCCACGGAGCTCCTTGGGCCCCCAACATTGTCTTCTCTCAAGTTCTTCCATCTTCATTCTTAGATGATTTTTTTTAAGGAGATCTTGGCTACACACGGTAGAAGTGATGTGCAGAACCAAGGCAGAAGATAAACGACCTGCTCTTGACAGCCAAGAGGTTTTTGCGCCCCATACAGCACAGTGGACAAGTGTCCTCTTTCTTCCAGGGAAGGCCGCTCGGGTCATTCGCACCCCTTGCTTAATCATTCACGGGGCTTAACCCAGGGTGCATCCGAACCTCCCGAAGGGAATATGGAGGCATGGACTTCACGTGACATAGTTGGACGAGGACGGAAACCCTCGCCCTGCCGCTCTGGTACCTCCCAAACCTCCGCTTGCTAAGCCCCCTGCCCTAATTCTCGAAGTACACCCCCCATTTCTTTCTCATTTGCAGGTGCATACATCATGTACGAGAAAGAAACCCGGCATACGACCCCAACAGAGCCCAAAATGTCTGCGGTTTGGTTGAGACATTTGTTCAGTGACTTTTGGTCCATTTTCTGACCTTTCTTGCCACCTGTCAGGGCTCTGACAATCCACCCTCATTCAAATCATAAGTCTCTGGCCGCATCTCTCAGAGTAAAAATAAATAAAAATGATTTATTAGGAAGTGACCATGTCGGTGTGACCTGGGTGCAGCCGACACTAAGACACATCATTCATTTCCCCCTTGACCCTGGTTTTCCTCCCACCCCCCTGGATGTATATTCTCCAATGGGACGCATCCATAGCCAAGAGTCATCTATCATGCTCTCCAGTAATAATCTTGCGCGCCAACAGCTTTGGCTGCCTAGCAATTATCTGAAGCATTTAAGGAATGCACTGCTTCCCCCCCCCCACACACACACACTCCCTTTCTGCCGGCAACTAAAAAGACCAAAGAAGCATTTTTTTTGTTGTTGACACCACCGTTGTGAAGCGAATCGCCGCAGCTGAGAAGTTAGTAACTCAGTCATTAAGTGAATCTGGTTTGCCCCCATTGACTTGGCCTGTCAGAAGGTTGCAAAAAGGGAAATCGTGTGACCCCTGGGACACTGCGGCCATCATACTTATGAGTCAGTTGCCGGGCGTTGAAATTTTGAACGCGTGGCCATGGGGAGGTAGCCATGGTTGGAAAGTGTGAAAAAGTAGCTGTAAGTCAACTTTTTGCAGCGCCGTTGTAACTTGGAATGGTCACTGAACGAACTGCCGTAAGCGGAGGACTACCTGTTCGAGAGTTGTTCAAACATCACTGTACCCAAATCTCAGGTTCTATCTGCTATCAACCATGGCTGGAAGAGCCCTAAGGCAGAATTTCTCAACTTGACTGACTTTAAAAGGAGTGGACTTCAACTCCCAGAATCCCCCAGCCAGCCTGCCTTGAAACAACCATAGAGAATTAAAGGAGCGGCCCTTATATCGAGAGTCCTTGACTTACAACAGTTCACTTAGTGACAGTTAGAAGTTACAACTGCACTGGACAAAGTGACTTAGGGCTGTTTCTCCACGCTTATGACCATGGCAGCATCCCGACAGTTACATGATTGACGTGCGGTGTGCTTGGACAACGGACTCACAGTTACGACGGTCTCAGTGTTCCCCCTTTTGCGAACTTCTGACGAGCAAAGTCAAGGGCGAGGAACCCGATTCACTTAATGACCATCTTACGAATTTAACCACTGCTGTGATTCAGTTTACGGCAAGAAAAGTCATAAAAGGGGACCAAACTTGACAAATGTATCACTGAGAAAACCTAAATTTTTGGGTTCAATTGCAGCCGTACATTGAGGGCTACCTGAATATCCGTTCAGGCTGGTTTAGGACTTGGAGATGGTGTGAATTTAGCCGTTCCCTCCTCAACAGCCCCCCCAGCCTTTGCTAACACAACCTCACAGTTTTGGTGGATGCAAAGTTGTTTTCGCACAGCTATATCCGTTTGTCATTTCTGACAATCATCCCGGGAACTGCACAACGGAAGGCGCAATCTTTCCATGCTCACTTGTAAACCAAGGTTCCTCCTACCTCAGCAACTTTAAGACTTCACCACCTTTCAAGTTGCTAAAATTTCAGCAACATAGCTCTAAACGCCGACGGAAGGGATTCAAACCAACTTGGCAGGACTTGTGGTTCCACCACTGTGCGCCTGAGGGGGGCTCCTTGAAACTTCCATGTCTCAGGGCAGTGTATCACCGCAAAGGAACAGCTGGGGATGGGAATGGCACAGCTTGGCACAGCCAACTTATCATGGCCAACTCCAGTGATGGGATTCAGCCGGTTTGCACCGGTTCCTAAGAACCGGTTGTTAACTTTCTGAGCAGTTTGGTGATCTGGCTGTTGGAAGAAATCATTAGGACAGAGAGAACCGGTTGTTAAATTATTTGAATCCCACCACTGGCCCAACTCGCCGCGGGGACAATTCACCGCGGGACAATTTAACAATTCTATGTAACGATTTAAAATAAAATTTAAAAATTATGTTAAATTTTGCCATTTACATCGTCAGGATTCCGGCACTTCACCCCGTTTAAATCATGAGTCTCAAGCCAAACTTCCAAAAGGATTTATTGGGAGTTAAAAGGTCCGGCACTGCCTGGGTGTAGCTGACTGTGAGACACATAATTCATTGTCACCCTTGACCCTGGTTTTCCCCCACCCCCTGAGTGTATCCTAATTCATATCCTCCAATGGGACACCTCCATAGCCCAGAGTCATCAGTCATGTTCTCCAGTTAGAATTTTGTGCGGTAGAAATTTCGGTCACCTAGTTAACTATCTTCGAAAGCACTTCCAGTTTTGCAAGCTATGGGACTGGTCCTCCCTCCCTTCCTGTTGGCAACTCCAAAAAAGACCATAGAAATATTTTATGAGTTGACGTACATTTCATTCTGTCCGTCCTTTTCCATCCTTTCTTTAATCCACCATTTCTTTGATATTAGTGTCACTCTTGCAGTGAGTTGTCCGGCGAGTTGGCAGTGTCGGCGAGTTAGCCGTGGTATGAGTTGGCCAAGGCAAATTGTCATTACACCAGGGGTGTCAAACTCAAGGCCCGTGGCCTACAGGGCGCTTAGATCTGGCCCGGCGGGGTTGCCCTGGAAATGGAAGGACCAGCCCACGGTGCCTCTGCCAGCAAAAACGAAACTCGAGAGGGGATTGCAGAAGGCCGCGTAGCCAAAAACAGAGCTCGGGAGCCTGTTTTTGCCGGCAGACTGCTCAGGCCACCCCAGGCACCTCCAACACAAGTGATGTAGGGCTGGCCACATCCACCACCACCCCCAAAGTCAAACACAACCCTGATTTGACCCTCAATGAAAGGGAGTTTGACACCTCTGTCATAGACCCTCGAGGGATGGCAGATAT